GACGGGGTTTCACCTTGTTGACCAGGATGGTCTCGATCTCTTGACCTCGTGATCCACCCGCCTCGGCCTCCCAAAGTGCTGGGATTACAGGCTTGAGCCACCGCGCCCGGCCCCTAGAAATTTTTCTTTGCCTTTTTTTTGAGACAGAGTCTCACTCTGTCACCCAGTCTGGAGTGCAGTGGCGTGATCTCAGCTCACTGAAACCTCCACCTCCTGGGTTCAAGCGATTCTCCTGCCTCAGCCTCCTGAGTAGCTGGGACTACAGGCACATGCCACCACATCTGCTTTGCTTTCATTTTTGAAAGATAGTTTGCCAGTTATAAGATTCTTGGCTAATAGTTTCTACCCTCACCTTGAGTAAGTCTACTCATTCTTCTGGCCTGTATTTTTTCTAATGGGAAGTCAGCTGTTAAGCTTACCAAAATTCCAGTGTGATGTGATAAGTCATTATTCTCTTCCGCTTTCATGATTTTCCATTTATCTCCGGTTTTCAACATTTTTACTCTGTTGTTATATGGGTCTCTTTGTGTTCATCCTACTTGGAGTTCGTTGAGCTTCTCAAATGTGTGGTTGAGTGTTTTTCATCATATTTGGCAAGATTTTAGCCATTACTTCCTTGAGTATTTTTTCTGCCTCTTTCCTTCTGGTGCTTCCATTTTATGTATGTTTGTCAAGTTGATGATATTTCACATTTCTCTGTTTATTTTTCTTCATTCTCTTTTCTCCTTGTCCTTCATATTACATAATCTCTTTGATCTCCAAGTTTGCTGATTCTTTCTTTTGCCAGCTCAGATCTATTGTTGAGATCCTTGAATGAATTTCTCATTCTGTTTGTTGTACTTTTTTTTTTTTTTTGCTGGATGCAGGCTGCTGGTATGTATGTTGAAACATTTTATGTCTGTATTCTTTTTTTTCGAGATTGAGTCTCACTCTGTCACCCAGGCTGGGGTGTAATGCTGCAATCCTGGCCCACTGCACCCTCCGCCTCCTGGGTTCAAGTGATTCTCCTGCCTCAGCCTCCTGAGTAGCTGGAACTACAGATGCACAATACCACACCAGGCTAATTTTGTATTTTTAGTAGAGATGGGGTTTCACCATATTGGCCAGGCTGGTCTCAAATTTTTGACCTCAAGTAATCCGCCTGCATCGGCCTCCCAAAGTGCTGGGATTACAGATATGAGCCACCAAGCCCAATCTGTTTGTTGTACTTTTAAACTCTAGGATTTCTGTGGTTTTTTGGGGGGTTAAGGAGGATTTTGAGATGGAGTCTTGCTTTGTCACCTAGGCTGGAGTGCAGTGGCGCAATCTTGGCTTATTGCAGCCTCTGCCTCCCAGATTCAAGCAATCTCTGCCTCAGCCTCCCAAGCAGCTGGGATTACAGGCACCCACCACACTTGGCTAATTTTTGTATTTTAAATAGAGACGGGTTTCACCATGCTGGCCAGGCTGGTCTCGAACTCCTGGCCTCAAGTGATCCGCCCACTTAGCCTCCCAAAGTGCTGGAATTATAGGTATAAGCCACCGCACCTGGCCTAAATGGTTCTTTTTTGTAATTTCTGTCTTTATTGATATTCTCTATGTGATGAATCATGGTTTCCCTTAGGTCTTTGAACATATTTATAAAAGCTGCTTTGTAGTCTTTGTAAAGTCCAACATTTCAGTGTTCTCGAAGGCAGCTTCCATGCCTGCTTTTTTCCTTCTGAATGGGTCAATGGGTCACAATTTACTCTTTGTATAGTTCATACTTTTTTGTCAAAAACTGGACATTTTAGATACTAGATTGTGCACCTCTGGATACTATACTGCAGCTGTCCCCAGTCTTTTTGGCACCAGGACAGGTTTCATGGAAGACAGTTTTTCCACTGGGGTTGGGGACAGGAGGATGGGTTCAGTATGATTCAAGCGCACTATCACTAGAGTCTCACAAGGAATGTGCAACCTAGATCCCTCCCATGTGCAGCTCACAATAGGGTTCACACTCCTACGGGAACCTAACACCACTGCTGATCTGGCAGGAGGCGGAGTTCAGCTTCACCCACCCATGGCTCACCTCCTGCTGTGTGCCCAGGTTCCTAACAGGCTACGGACCAGTACCAGTCCGTGGTCCAGGGGTTGGGAACACCTGCTGCATTGGCTTCTCCTTCCTGCTAGAGTTTGATTGTGTTGTTTCCTTAGTACTTTGTTTCTTTATTTAGTGAGTTGCCTGCAGTAGCTCTCTGAAGTCTGTTTCTCGTGTAGTGTGCGGCCTCTGATGTCACTGGTCATATTTTCTTGTTTTTATCTTTTGGCCCAGCTCCCTATGTGTTGCCAGTGGGTCCGCAGAGGCCACTTACTAGTCAAAGGTTGTGCTTAAGATCCTTCAGCCAATTAGATTTTTTTTTATCCTTTACTGTTGGATGTGTGTGTGTGCGATTTTGACACAGCTATCACAAATCAGGGAGTTTACATTTTGCCCACATTCACTGAGGAACTAGCAGCTTGGAATTTCTCTCTCTGATTTCTTCTCAGAGAGAGTACATCCTTGGACATATACCAGGGCTGCATGTGATTTTTTAAATTTTATTTTTATTTTTCATTTTTTGAGATGAAATCTCACTCTGTCACTCAGGCTGGAGTGCAGTGGTGCAATCTCAGCTGACCAAAACCTCTGCCTCCTGGGTTCAAGCAATTCTCCTGCCTCAGCCCCCTGAGTAGCTGGGACTACAGGCATGCATCACAACATCCAGCTTTTTTTTTTTTTTTTTAAGTAGCTTCCTAGGAGTTGCCTCTGAGTTAGAGCAGTTTATTGTTCAGCCAGTGTTTGGTCAGGGGTTGTGCTTTAGCCCTTGGTGCCAGTGAAGTATCCACCCTTTGTTAATGGATCTACATGTGGCCTGGGGAATACTCTCAAGTCAAGCCCTACGTCCTGCTCTGATTGCTCCTGAGTAGATGCAGCCTGGTGCAAGCACACAGTCTTCCCAACCCTCGTGTTGGCCATGATTCCAGAAGGGCTTTTCTTGGATTTCTCTTTCTCTGGTTCTGCCTGTTAAACATCTGGAGGCTTTGCCATTTGGGTTTTTCTTTTCTTTTCTTTTTTTTTCGAGATGGAGTCTTGCTCTGTTGCCCAGGCTGGAGTGCAGTGGTGCAGTCTCAGCTCACTGCAACCTCCACCTCCCAGGTTCAAGTGATTCTCCTGCCTCAGCCTCCCAAGTAGCTGGGATTACAGGCACCTACCACCACACCCAGTTAATTTTAGTATTTTTTGTAGAGACAGGATTTCACCATGTTGATCAGGCTGGTCTTGAACTCCTGACCTTGTGATTCACCCACCTAAGCCTCCCGAAGTGCTGGGATTACAGGCATGAGCCACCAGGCCTGGCCACCATTTGGGTTTTTCATACCAGTACCATAGAGGTAGCAGCACCCTCATAATTGCTCTCCACCAAGATCTCTATGGTTTTCAACGCCCTTAGGCATAGAATTCTCCACACTGAGTTCCAAATAAAGTGAGTCCTCTCAGGCAGAGTTTTGTAGCTCCTTATTTTTCAGGCCGCCCTTCCCTCCTGGGCAGAACTTCTGCACAAGGGCCCACTTCTCCTAGAGCGATACCCTCCTGATCTATGAGTAGGCGCTGGGGAAAAAAGGTGTTAGCCCCTGGTTTTCTTGGCTTACCTTTTCTGTTTCAGACGCTCTAATCTTTGAACAAGCTGGAATGGGAGCAATTGAAGTCTCAGTATTGTCAGCCTACCAGGCCTGGGATAGAGCTTCTGCCCTGCAAGTAGAGGAGAGAACCTCAGTCCTCTCAGCTTCACCAGCAAATAGAACTTCTGCAATACAGAGCAGAAATCATCCGGGAGAGACTAGCGTCCTAAAGAGAATTTCAAAAATACATAAATAATTTACGGTGTCACAGAGAGGTCACATAAGAACAGAAATAAAGTCCGTAAGCTGTAGCAATAGGGAAGTCTTTGGTGACATTTTTTGAAGCTGGTTTAATGTGAAGTATGGTTGAAGTCAAAACCAGATTTTAAAGGACTAAGGATTAATGAATTGAGGAATGAATAAAGATTATGCTTTTAAACACTTTAACCATTCAAGGTTCCAAATAACTACATTTTTCATTCTGCTATTCTCTTTCTGTTCATTATGTCCTATTTCTTTTTTCTCATAGGCGAGACCTGGAACCCTTTCAAATTGCAGTACCAGCTGAGAAATGTACGAGAGCGCATTGCAAAGAACCTAGTAGAGAAGGGTATTCTAACCACTGAGAAGCAGAATTTCCTGCTCTTCGACATGACTACTCATCCAGTGACCAATACAACAGAGAAACAGCGGCTAGTGAAAAAACTTCAAGATAGCGTACTAGAGCGGTGGGTAAATGACCCTCAGCGTATGGACAAGCGAACACTAGCACTCCTGGTGCTAGCCCACTCCTCAGATGTGTTAGAGAATGTCTTCTCCTCTCTGACAGATGACAAGTATGATGTGGCAATGAATCGAGCCAAGGACTTAGTAGAACTGGACCCTGAAGTGGAAGGGACAAAGCCTAGTGCCACAGAGATGATCTGGGCTGTGCTGGCAGCCTTCAATAAATCTTAAAGCCAGCAGGTGGGTTTCTCCTTTTCCCTTGCTGGCTGGTGGTGACTGTCAGAGACCTCATCACTGAGTTTTGTGTGATGAGATGTTTTCATCATTTTTGTTTCCTTTTCTTGAATCAGACTTGTGATTTGGAGAGAGCAACTTCAGGGCTTCTCCACAGACCTTGGCCATGATAAGCAGCCCTTGTTTCTCCCCACACTTCCACTCCATAGGTGAACAAACTGGGAGGACTCACACACACCCAGTAAACGTTTTCTCCCATTTCTTGGTTTAGTTTCACCAGTGTGCTTTTGGATAAACAGAAATATCTAAATGGGATTTAGAGTTCTCCAGCTACAGAATGTGAAGGAGATAAAAAGCCAACCATCTATTATATTTTTCTAAGTTTGTTTTCTATCTTAAATATATGTTTTCACAGTCTTTGTCTCTCAGACTCTGCTAAATAATGTAACTTTTTGAAATAACTGTCACTGAATAAGGAGCAATGAGAAACAAAACTAATTTTTGGAGCAGATAGTCTCTGAAATTGTATATCCTGCTAGTGATTTTCTCATCTTTCCTTTTCTAACAACCTAATGAGAATGTCCCAGATTCAAATACCTGGATCTCAAAGTCCTAGAGCCAGAAATATATTCTCTCATCCCTCTTAGCTTTATCTTGTGCCCTTATTCACTAAGGCAAAAGTCTAAATGAAGGAAAAAATGTCTGTCTCAACACCTTGTTCATGCAATCAACATTAGAATTTGTAAGGGAGGAAGGGAGGTGGCAAGGAAATTTCCATCTTTGGAGTACATGACTGTCCCGTTTCCCCCAGTCCACTTTGTTTTGAGACAGGGTCTTGCTCCATTGCCCAGGCTGGAGTACAGTGGTGCTATCACAGCTGACTGCAGCCTTGACCTCCAGGGCTCAAGGGATCCTCCTGCCTCAGTCTCCCAACTAGCTGGGACTACAGGCACATGCCACCATACTGAGCTTTTTTTTTTTTTTTTTTTGAGACGGAGTTTCGCTCTTGTTACCCAGGCTGGAGTGCAATGGTGCGATCTCGGCTCACCACCACCTCCGCGTCCTGGGTTCAGGC